ATATATGAATTTCAATAAATTGAAGTTAATCGTCTATGGCATATAATTCAAAGAAAGCAAGCAAAAATAACAAGTAGACCTGTTTCACAGACAATAATGTTATATGAAGTTAAAATAACAGAACTTAACCATCTGTGCATTACAATTCACAAAGTAAGCAAAAATAACAAACAATTCTTTTTCACAGACAATAATCATATATGAAGTTCAAATACTCTCAAAAATATGACTTCACCATCCTCTCATAAAAGTGGCTAGCTATGGTGGGGTGTAAAATTTACAATACTAGTATATTGTTCTTTGCAATTCTTTAGTATCTCATCTTTTACAGACAATTCCATTAATGATTAATTTGAGTGCCGGCTCAGTACCTGTTCGGAGGGGTGAGGCTGCCGGCGCTGAAGCTAAAGGGGTGGGCCTGCCGGCGCTGGAGCTGGAGGGGTGGGCTGGCGAGGGGTAGGGTTGCCGGCGCTGCTATGCTCTCGATGGAGAAGAAGGAGGTGCAATTGGAGTTGTTCGAAATCTGTTGCTTGTGGAGGTTGAAGTTGGAGAAGGGAGATTTGGGAATTTTGGGGAAGAAGGCGGGTTGGGAATTTTGGAGAAGAAGGCGGGTTGGGAATTTTGGGGAAGAAGGTGGGAGACGAAAAGACAAAAAAGAAAATTGAAAAAAAAATTAAATTTAATGGGTGGCATGCTTGGAGGCACAAGTGGTGCCTTTTTAGCATTCTCCTTTGTAGTATAGACCCTACACATAGCATACAAGTGTATAGATCAGAGGTTCCATCCTAAAATCAATTGGCAATACAAAGGAGAGATCAATAAACTATATGTTGGACGTTAGATGTAACTCATGTATGAGAAATTTCTAAGACCAGTTGTGATGTTTTTTGTAAACTTTTTATTAAATAGTACTAAAACATGTGTCATTTTCAATATAGTACTTAATCTTTTTTGTCGTCTAAATAGTATTTAAATAATGTCTAGTAGCGAGAACAATGTCCAATGATGGTGGACGTTTAGTTTAAACAATGTTCGGCGGCGGGGGATATTTACATGAACAATGACAAACGGACAATGACCAGTAGTACAACATTGGGAAATAAAAATATATGATACTATATTGAAAAAATCACTATGTTTTAGTACTACCTCCGTCCCATTTTATAACGCCTGTTTCGGTTTACGATGTTTGACTGAAATTATTTTCAAACCATTTTATATGACAAATGGTATAGAATTAAAAAATAAAAATTGCATATTAAAAAACTACATCAAAAGATCTACAAAACTAGTAGTGACAATAATATTTTATTTTATCAAATTGCTAACGAAAATAGAGAAAGAAAGTGAATGAAGTTTGACCCTGTGAATAGTAAACAGGCATTATAATTTGGGACGGAGGGAGTAGTATTTAGGTAAATTGTTCATTTTAGTTCTTGCCTCGTGACTCCTTATCTATTTTGGACTGACTCCTACGTCATGATAAAAGTGTAGTGGTCCAATCATAGCGTGGGGGACAATAAAAGTAGAGATATAAAAATAATGAAACAAAATTTATATGTTGTGAATAATATTACAATTAATCTCAATATGTTTAATTAGTTGAAGACTAATTAAATTTTTATCAATATAAAGCTCTATCGTGTCATAAATTAAAATACCTCATGGTCGAGTCATATGGCACACCCTTCCTTTGACGTCATTCACTATCCATCACATGAGAGGATGACGATGGACAATGCAAAAAGAAAAAAAATGCAAAAATAGTATATTAAGAATGGAGATGCGGGGTATCGATCCCCGTACCTCTCGCATGCTAAGCGAGCGCTCTACCATCTGAGCTACATCCCCTCTTGTTTCAAATCCCGTACATGTGATGAATATAGTAAGCATCACAAATGGCAGTACAGTAGGATCGTGATACAAAGCCCCACTAGCCCGGAGTTCCATTTTTGGGGGTTCATCAATGGCGATGGTACATTCTATCTGCAAATCATTCCTAAAGTTTCCGACCACCGCCGGCTATGTGGCGATTACATCGTTGTCATCTTCCCTCGTTCGGCGCCGCCGCCGCGGCTCCTCCGTCCTTTCCGTCGATAAGGCAACGCAGGCGAGGAGCTGGCCGGGAATTAGGGAACGAGTCCAACGAATTATGTCGGCGGATCTCAGTACCGCCTCCGGCGGCGATAAGGATCTAGGCGGCCGGGAATACTTGATGTTGTCGGAGGAGCAGCTGCTGCGGCAGTGCGAGATGGATACGTTCAAATCGTCCGGTCCCGGCGGACAACACCGCAACAAGAGAGAGTCTGCTGTGCGGCTAAAGCACCGTCCCACCGGTATTGTTGCACAAGTACATAATTCCCTTAATCGTGGACTTTATTATGTCTGTCATTTCTGAAGATGAAATTCTTCATATGATTATATGATGCCAAAATATTTTAAGCTCCAAAGAGTAATCCGATTTTCATAAAAAGAAAAAAAAGATCTGAGGATTGGTTTTCTCCAACTAGTTATCATCTTTCTCCAGATTTGTGAGTACTGCTAGAAGAATTACTTAGGGTGACGTGTCAAAGGAACCAACTCAGTCAAAAAGCCGAAGCTTGTGTTTGTAGGATCTATGGAGGCTTTATACTCTCACACGCCCTTCCACGTGAACATTAGTTTTTGTTAAACTGGTAGCGGTGAGTTTCGAACTCGTGACTTCTGAGTCAGCAGTTGATGCTATATAGCGATTAAGGAACTAACTCAAGTTTATGGTTGTGGGTCTAGGAAAGATTTTATACTTTTAACATAAAAGGAGCCAATGTAGTTCAGGTTTGGCTGGGGAATGTTGGATGGGAGAATGCCATTAACTTATCTTCTTATTCTCCCCCCTATTGATATTGCCTCTTGCTATATAGGCTGCTGAAGATCGGTCACAACACATGAATCGTGCCTCGGCAGTTAAACGGTTGCGAGCTCAACTTGCTCTTAAAGGTTTGTTGCTTTTCATTTGGAGCCCTAGGTTTTTAGAAGCATTCAGACCAAGCAGCAATCTATTTGCTGCTACAATAGGAGGTCACCAGGCTTCATACTACACAGTACAATACCGAACGATAAACTCTGGAGTAGTTAGAATTTACTGAGTACATAGGATTAGGAATACTTTTTAATTTGCTTTTTGGGTTAACAAGCTGTTTCTCAAGGAGTAGGACTAAGCTGAAGGTGTGTCTCATATGAACTATGCATCTTTATTTGGTGTTTAAAAAAACAGCAATGCACTTTCTTGGTACTTGGGAAAAACTAGAGAATGTATTTTAGCTCATGGGGCCCAAATTTTGGAAACTACTTTTTTCCTTTCATCTAGCTTCTTATTGTGTTCACTGTTTTGAACAATGATGAGCTCCTAATTCACCATTCTCCAGCAACAAAAAACCTAAAAATGGTATTTATGTGCCTTCAAAACAGCTGTGCATGATTCATTTTTTGTTTTAGTACCTATTGCCAATAATAGACGAACTCATCAGATTATACCTGTTCTATTACTTTGAGACAGTGAGGAACAACATAGATCTTGATGCTTATGCACCTCCAGAAGAGCTACTGCAGATACTCCCTGCCAAGTCATCAATCAAGGGATCCCATTCTGGATCTACGATTGGACCAAACAATCCAAAATTTATTCCGGTCCCGTTTAACCCCTCCCTCACATCATTTGACTGTTTATATTCTTCTTTTCCCAAATTTGTCTGGACTACTTTTTACTTTCTTAAACCTGCAGGGAATGCAAGCACTACTTGATCTAGTTTTTGCTGTTGAGGGATCTATTTCCGAAGCAGCCAAGAAGTTAGGGTATGTGATATTATCATATTAATATCAGTTCCTTTACTTTGTGGCTACTTGTTTGCTAGCAAGCTTGACCATATGTACGCATAATGGGCTTTCCATGTTCTGAAAAGTGGTGACGATGAAAACTTGTCAGTTGCGTGCAAAATGACTATCTCATCATGGGGGTTACTAAGACTTAGTGTTCCATCCCAAAAGGTCATTATAATACTAGTCCAAAGCATGATATTTTGTTTTTCTCTTTATATTTGGTCAATAAAGGATGTCTTAGCATGCCCAACAAAATGGTGGATTGGTGGTCTAACCCAATCTTTAAAATTTGTCAGCTCATTTTTTTATATGTTAATTAGGATGAGTCTAAGGTCTTCCTTGTTGGTTTGCTTTGTTTATGTTTGTTTGATACACGATAACCTATTTTTAGTATGCATTCTCATAGTTCACTATTGACAGTCACTCCGCAAATTGACCAAGTTCTGCTATTTCAGCCGTTTGACAAACATTGACTTGTGTCTGTTGTACAATTCAACGAGAGATTTTTGGACTTTGTACAGGTTAAGCACCGGGGCTTTATCAAGGCTAATACTATCAGATGATTCTCTCAGAATGGCTGTCAATGAGTTCAGAGCGTCTAAGGTACATATGCAGCATTAGTGTAATTTCATTCTCTCAGGATATTTATCCTTAGGTTCTGCTAATAATCAGAGAAAGGAGGGATAAAATTATGAATGAAGTGTTTCCCCTAACCTCATGAGTGGGAACAATTCAAGGTTAGAGATCATTTCATACTCCAAATCATATTTTAAATGAGTCTGAGAAGTGGTTTCATAGACTCTGTTCTTGAGTGAGATATACTTTGTTTGGTAGTGCTCCTAGCCGTTCATGGCATGTGTCCACCATACATTGTGCTTGTGTCCATTAATGCTTTATGTTAGAGTTTAAAATAATACTTCTCCCGTCTCGTAAATTTTTCAAAGATGAAAAAAGGCGTCCCAAAAAATGGGTAATTTTGATATTATTTTCTAATTATGACTCATGTATCCTAAACATCATATCCTACCTTATTATAAAGTAAGGACAAAATTAGAAAAGAATATCAATATTACAAATTTTTAGGGTGCGCCTTTTTTCATCTTTGAAAAGTTTTATGGGACGGAGGAAGTATATTGGTCACAGTCATCGAAACCATAGAACCTTAGGGTGATACATTAACCTGAAACATTGTATGTCTCTATGCAGGGTATGAAACCACTCAAATAGGATGGCTGTCTAAAATGGTGCCTCACAGGTATTTCGGAATGAGATAAAACACTGTATATCTATACGAGTAAAAGTTTTGGTCAATAAAACTCTAAAACGCAATTAGTTAAAACTTGTAATATTGATATTCTTTTCTAATTTTGTCCTTACTAATTTTGCAGCCATCTATATGCAGAAATGGGAATAACGATGACTTTATTTTTGCCTAACATTCTGTAATATTTGTTAAGGAGTTTTTATCATGGTAATACCATCACCACAATGTGTCCCATCCACCCTGCCTTGGTTGATGGACAAGAATCCGTATATTACGTAGCTGAGGAAAGATGAAAACTAGCATTGTAACAAAAAGTCGTCTGCGTGCCACACTGCCACTATATGATGAATCAAGAAGCCTCAGTCACACCACATGTGACACCGCCAGTGTGTCAAAGACAATGATTTCTTGCGGACAATGATTGTCTGTGCGTGAATGTCTCTAGTGGTGTCAAATTTTGTGTCATTTCTAGTTTTAAGAGCATTACTCTTGTAGCATTGCATTTCCCCCACTTGAGCTACACACAAGGCAGTTAGGTGTTTCATCCCATTGCTATTTCTACCCGAAGTTCTAATATGTTCTTGCCATATGGCCGATTTTGAAGTGCATAGTTAATTTATGATTCTCTTACATTAGATAAATGTTTTTACTCTAGGGTATGAGTCTATGGCACCAACTCACAAATTTTACCACAATAATATACTTCTCATTTTTTATTCACATGGTAAAATTATATTCTCTTTTAACTTGTTTTCGTTGATCATTTGATAAAATAAAATAGCTTTATCAGTTATCACCATTTTTTGTAGAACTTTTAGAGTAGTTTTTAACTTTATAAATTTTGTTTTTAATTTTACAATAAAATTTAAATAAATTGACTCTGAAGTAATCTGGGTAAACATTTTAATCTGAAATGGAAAAATTATTTGTGTGTGAGTGTGCGCGCGTGTGTGTGTATTACAAACAAAAAATTGTTTTAAAACGAATATTAAAATTACACTCATGAAACAAGTTGGAATTCACCAATTTTTAAATTCGAGAAGACAACCTACGATGTGAAAATAGTCTAAATATTTAAAATATATTATTTAAATGATTGAAATATTTTCCACATCGAGGGTTGTTTTCTAGAATCTATTATGAAGATATGAAAACATAATGTTGTGACCACCTCTTTCATCCCCATTCAGTTATAAGGGATTTCTAATTTTTGACCACACGGTGTGGGTTCCAAAGCCACAATACTTTAAAATGAGGCAATTAAAACTAGAGAAAAATGAAGAGAAAAGAATTTGGAGAGAAAATAGAAAGAAAATGATTGTTATTTGTATGAGAAGAAAATGTAGAGAAAATGTGGAAAAACGGTTTGAAAAGGAAAAAAAAGGAAAGAAAAAATGCAAGAACTTCTCTAGCTATGGTGTTTCCTTCTCATTTATGGAGAGAAAATATTTGTGTAGCGGCTCAAAGAACAACTTAATCAAAAGTTAAAATTTATACGGAGTACGTAGTTGGTAAGTTCATGCAAATTTGTTTTTTTCAAACCTTGCATGTGAAAATTTAATGCGAGAAAGACTAAACTAAGAATATTAAATAGCGAAATGACTAAAATTAGATTTTAAAATTTTTATTTCTAAAATAAAAACAAAATTGTTTTTTTTAAAAAAATTGCGGTCACGCATTCTAAAATTTAATCCTACCTATCTTTTGCTGGAGTGTCTCAATGTCACTGTACAATGCTAGTTGGATCTTACAATGTGTTTTGATCATTCATTTGATAAAGTATTAGAGTCATTTTTTAGTATGTTAAAACTTTTGATGTAATTCTTATATACATAAATTTTATTTTTTATTTCTATACTAATTTTTTAATCAAAAAAAATTTTAAATATTATTTTACCTAGTAAATCTCCATGAATTTGATTTGGGGAAGGGGGGAAGGGGACTATTTATTCATTTACAAATGAAATAAATAGTTATTTGTTCATTTCTTCAAAATGTTGGACAAAGTAATAAAATTATTCCAATTCGTCCAATAGAAATTCTGAAATGCTTTTTTTGAACCAAAACGCAAAGTATATTAACACCTCAAAATCTCAAATCCAAGTACATGTTTTAGAAAAAAAAATTCAGTGATAGCAACTACAAAGGAACAAAGAACAAGACGAATAAGGCTAAAGATCACTCAAATCTCTTTCCCTTAGCATTCAAGAAGGTGCAAACATGCATGGAATTTGATCTTTTGAACGGTTTCATCCACTGAAGAGGAGGTATATATTCCTGTATAGAAGGGTGTTTTTGGCCCTCCAAATGAAGTATACAGAATTGAAGCACTAAACACAATAATGATCTTCAACCTATGTTTAGCTTCAGTTTTGTCCCATAAGCCATTTATATCATAGCTTCAGAGTATAGATAACACTTTTGCCCATGCCATTAAATCATTCTCTTGTTTGAAGAAGTTTCTTCCAATAGGAGCAAGAATCTTTATATATTAAATTTGAGAGTTGGACTTTCGGAATTGCGTTATGTGGCCAGGCCAGGTCTACTTGGCAATTTTTTTACAAATAATCCGCCACCTTTGATGACTTTGATAACATGGCAATATTGACATGTAGCACGCTTACTAGGCAATTTTTTGACATGTTAGCACTCCATGTCATTAAGAGATATTTAAAAAATTAGTTAACAAAATAATATATTCTATGGAAATTAAGTTTTGTATTGGTTACACACAAATTCCTCAGCATAATTGTGTTTGAAAACTTTTATATCTTAATTCATTGTTGTAAAAAATTTAAGTTAAATAATATATTTTGAAATTGAAAAATAGAAGTCATATTCAAAAACAATAATCAAAACAAATAAATTTATTCTAAGAACGGATAGATTGGTAGGACTAAAGGAAATTACATGTGAATATTTGTTATTACTTTGAATTAATACTAATTGGAGAGATTTTCCCATTTTTGAAAAAATAGAAATAAATATATAAAAGGAAAAAGATTTTTATTGGCATGTTTATTTAATAGAGCATTAACTTTATTCCGTATTCATCCAAAAAAATTTTTTTATTCCGTATATATTAAAAGAGTTCTAAGTCATATATATTAATTTATTCTTTTTTACGAGAATTTATTTAGCTAAAATATGGTTGTAATTCAATAAAAAATGTGTACATAACTGAATTGAATTTAGCTTAACAAAATTTTGACTAAACTAATATAACTAAAAGTGAGTTACACAAAAAGAAATTTTATATGAATTTTGTATTTTATGTTGGTAATTTGACTTACTATTATAATCAAAATAAGTATTTTGTATGAATTTTGTATTTTATGTTGGTAATTTGACCTACTATTATAATCAAAATAGGTTTGTATTGTAACTTAACATTTTCTTAAGGTGTAACCTAAATATTTATAAATTTATATTGTGTAATTATTCACTATATTTATGCATGAAGATAAGAAAATTTGTATGAGAAAGGGCTCACTTCATTCCTACATATTTATTTGCATAATTGTACATAGAAACTACATACGATGGTGTTCTATGAGACGAAGAGAGATGACACAGATGTATGCAAAAAAGATTATGATAAGGAAGATCAAGATGCACATCTGTGACAATGAAGATCGATCTAGGTCTAAAGACAAACAATAAAGCAAGAAAAAGTGCGGAGAAGATCCAAGGTGCAAAAATGAATAAGATCAAAATTTGGATACAAGCACGTCAAAGAGAAATATAATTTTCAATTTGTAACTATTTATATTTTATTAAAACATTTTGTATTGATTAGAATGCTACTACGGGTTTGAATTATTTTACATTTTGAAGCAAAAAATAATAAAAAGAATAAAAAATTGTCAATTTTTTTTTGTAAATTTCCCTTCAAAAATCAACCAAAAATAGAAGTAAAAAATATTAAAAGAATAAGAGTCACATGCTTTTATCTACAAAATGGTACCAATATAATTTGACAATGGGACACTCTCTATTGATATTTCATTGTAATTTTTGTATTATATGTTGGTCTTATTGACATTATAGTTCCTATTTTGCAAATAAAAACATAAATATTCTATTTTGGTTATTTTCTTATATTTTATTTTCATTTTTAATCTTTCTCTTTTTTCCTTGAGAATCATTGTACCACTACTTTTTTCTAATAATATTTTTTTTTCAAAATTGATGCAGGGGAGAAGAATTGTTGTATTTTAATTTTTTTCAAATTAATATTTTTTAATAATAGAGTCATAGGATCGCTAATCCATGATTTCATTTCTAAATAATGCGGTAAAGATGAATCAATTTTTGTATTCAATGCGGGGGTCGGGAGAATCATGTTTTTCGCTAATCTCAATTAATGTGGGGGAGAAAAATCATGTTTTTTAATTGTAGAATCATAAGATCGATAATTTCAGTTTTTTAAATTTATGGTGGGAAAAAGATTAATAGAATCGCTAATATTTTTTTTGTATTTTATTAATTTATATGGGAAGAAAAATTATAAGTTTGGATAAATTCAATAAACCTAGATTATATATATATTTGATGTTTAAATGATATGCCTCATAAAAAAACTATTATTTTAATACTCCACATTGTAGAATCACAAATAATTTTGACCACCCCGTGCATGGCACGGGTTAAAATACTAGTAAGCTTTGACATGACAATCCCATGTGTCATTGGCTTTAATGTATCTGATATGAACCCATTTAATCCATAGGATGTCCTTATTCAACTTCATTAATCCAAACTAACTTCATTATGCACGCCTTAATCCACATAACTAAATTTTTGAATCCTAACCCCCATACTCTTTAGGACTTTAGAGGTCATCCTAGATAACTAAGAGACTCTTTTGTATTCATGAGAGGAGCTCCATAAAAAGTTTCTGCATAGAAATTGGACCTTCTTCACGAGCTTTGTATGAATAAAAAAGAGTCTACTCCAAAAACCCATCATCCCATGCAAGCTAGAGTTGGTCAAATTGACCTTGCCAAAACAATCAATACAATCATACACTCAGATTTGACTGTTTGATTAAAAATTAGACGAACACCTAAAAATATTTCAAAACCAACTGCCATTGAGCATAATTTTTAAAACCATAAATAAAAATTTATAATATTTACAAACTTGTCATTTTTTAATTATTTGATGTTTTTTTTTACTCTTTTGAAAGTTTGGATAGTCCACAAGACTTTTTCTTTTCTCATGTTTAAGGGGGGTCGTGGACTCGCGGCCCAACGAAATCCAATGTGGGCTACGGCAATGTCTCTTGGCGGCAGCGCAAGTGGCGGGCGGGATCGGGCGGTTGCCTCCGGCCACGAGCTCATCTTCTCGGCGGAGAATTCGGCGTCTTTCGACGGTCTGTAAATAACTCACTGGTAATGGTTGAAAATGGCGGACACGAAAACGTGGTAAAAAAACTGATTATTTATTTATTTATTTACGGTGAACATGCATTCGTCATTCTTCTCTTACAATCTTCATTTTCATTCAATTGTTATTTCTTTGCTTCTCCCTATAAACTCTCTCCACTTTATCTTCTCTTTTTCCTCTGTTTTCGGTGTTTATTTATATATTTAGCAGTTTTTGTGCGATCAAATTGCCGGGGATAGAACATTAGAACGGTTGATCCTCCGATCCGGATCTCGAATTTGTAATTCATTAGGTTAAACAGAGCGAATGTGTATTTTGAATC